AATCAGTGGGAAGCCATGTCCTCCTTTTAAGATTGTGATTCTGGATGAGGCAGATTCTATGACCTCAGCTGCTCAGGCAGCTTTACGACGTACCATGGAGAAGGAGTCTAAAACCACGAGATTCTGTCTCATCTGTAACTATGTCAGTCGGTATGTATATTGCCTTAAAGATAGATGCTAGGCAGCCTTGTTTTGATAACCTTAATTAGGGAGAAGAAGAAATGGAAATAATGTTTCAAGACTATAGTAATTTCTCCTCCATGAATCTTGATTTGTTGAAAAATAGTTCATTGATAAAAATGGGGAAAATCTTCTTTAGACACTGACACTTTTTTCCTTAATATCTTACAGAATAATTGAACCTCTGACGTCTAGATGTTCTAAATTCCGATTCAAACCACTGTCAGATAAAATTCAACAGCAGCGATTACTAGACATTGCTGATAAAGAACATGTCAAAATTAGCAATGAGGTAATTACTAATTACTACAAATATTGTAATTATGATTCCTTTGATGAATTCATAATAGGTCCTGAAAATATCGCATGTGGTACTTTAATTTCTGATGACTTCAGGCAAAGTTAAGCTAAAAGGGCAACATTTGGAATGTCTAGGAATTATAGGTTAAGCCTTATTATCAGTATTTCAGAGAGCCAGAACTAGGGCATACTTCATACACATAATACAAATTTTCCAATAACAAATCTCTGCACAATGGTGAGATTTTAGTGTCCTAGCTACTGTTTCCTTAAGGAGTAAATTTGGTGATGAAATTTTGGTACAGAAAGAGGATATGTAGGCCTTATTCATTTTAACAGAATTTTACCATAATTTGAATTGTCTTTGCTTTTTGTATTCCAGAAAATAGGATTAGAAATATGGAACATTTGTCTTTGCAAATTTCTTTTGAAGGCAAGAGATCTCTAGCCTTCCACTGGACTGATGCTGTCTCCATGAATTCTGCCATCATAGGACTGATTAACATTCCTTTAAAACTGAAAATAATTCTCCCACTGGCTCTAGGCTAAAACTGTGTTTTTCCACTTTATTAAAGTCAAAAAGTCTAACTTGACCATCCATTGTAGGTTAAAAAACGCTTTTTTTTTTTTTCTTTTCAGGGAATAGCTTATCTTGTTAAAGTGTCAGAAGGAGATTTAAGAAAAGCCATTACATTTCTTCAAAGCGCTACCCGATTAACAGGTGGAAAGGAGATCACAGAGAAGGTGATTACAGACATTGCTGGGGTAAGAGCACAAGATACTCTAAAATTTTTGGTTGGGCTTGGGACTTTTAGAAAATTTTCAACTAACAAAATGTATTCAGAATGCTGATGTGCTGGTTTAATCAATTCAGGCAGCTTTAACAAAATACCGTAGGCTGAGTGGCTTATAAACAAATATCCCAGTTCTGGAGGCTGGGCAGTCTAAGATCAAGATACCTGTATTGAGTATCTGGTGAGGAATAACTTCTTAGTACATAGAGTCCTAGTTCAGACTCAACTGCATTCTTTCTGGGAGGACCTTTAAAGGGCACTAATCCCATTCATGGGGGTTCTGTTCTCCCGACCCAACCAACTTCCCAAAGTTCTCAGTAGGGATTTTTAACATGAATCTTGAGGGCATTTAGTTTATAGCATGTGCCAAGTACTATGCTAGAAACAGTGTAATAAGGAAATAACCTGGAAGAATTGCAACACTTCAGGAATATGGCAGTTGAGATTTAATGGAGATTCCTGTTCTTAGAAATCTGACCAAGGGTCATATATAAAGGGGCAGTATCCCATTTAGAGAAATCACTTATGTCAGGGTTCAGCTCTACTACTAGTAGGATCCCTCTTTCAAGACTTAGTTCCTCAGGTATTTTTCATACCATCATGAAATTGATAGCATTAGTCCCCTTTACCTTCTGGGTATTATGGACTTTCTAAAAGCAATCTCGTTAGTGGCATCTTTACTAGGAAAGGGGGCACTTCCCTTAATTCCCTTTTTAAGCTAGTAAACAGATGTTAGCCACTGCTAGGGAAGTTAGAACCACTTGGGTGCGAACCATCGGCCACAGTTTTTAGCTGCTCACCCACTGACCAGATTAGCTATTCTTGTTCCATCATGGTCCCAAACTTGAAACTCATCAGAAGCAAAGAAAATTCTGTATATATCACAGAGACATTAATTTCTTAAAACCAAAATGCATCACTATTACATGATAGTGACTAAAGATGGTCTGAATCAGAATGAAAAGGTTACAGCTACCTGGAGAGCTTATTTCACTCTTCCAAAGTTCTCATCCTTTGCCTTCCCAAACTTTAGGTAATACCAGCGGAGACAATTGATGGAATATTTGCTGCGTGTCAGAGTGGCTCATTTGACAAACTAGAAGCTGTGGTAAAAGTCAGTCACTTTACTGGTTAACTTTGGGAAAGGGAAAAAAAGTAAATGAGCATACCAAATTCAACTCTCTTGCAGGACTTAATTGATGAGGGTCATGCAGCAACTCAGCTTGTAAATCAATTTCACGATGTGGTGGTAGAAAATAACCTTTCTGATAAACAGAAATCCATTATCACAGAAAAACTTGCCGTAAGTAGACACTGCTGCACATTTCAGCAAAATGTGTTAAACACAACCCAAAGGGAGATTTTCCTAACTTTTTAATTTTCTTACAGGAAGTAGACAAATGCTTAGCAGATGGTGCTGATGAACATCTACAATTGATCAGCCTCTGTGCGACAGTGATGCAGCAGTTAACTCAGAATTGCTGAAGTGATCATTTTTGTAAGATTTGTTTTTAAAGTATGATCTGATAAAAATAAAATGACCAAAGCACCTTTAAAGTGAATATACAATTTATTTAACATTCAAACTTCATTAAGACATGTGCAATATGGCAATTTTACTGGGGGTTTAACCCTACCTAGGATATGATTGCTTGCTGGGGCTTAGCAACAGGGTCCAGTTCACACTTAGCACTAATTAAATACTTTATTGAATAAATACAATACCAAACAAAATGCATTCAAATGCTTTCTAAAAAAAAAATCAATTTTAAAGGCCTTTCTATTCAGGCTAATGACAAACACAATAAAGGCAGATATGCTAGTTTAACATAATTGGCTGATTTTATACAGCACTTATATCTTTTAGTCCACAAGTATATTATTAAATGATAGAGAACATCTAATACAACCATTTCTACAGAACTAGGAAATAAATTTCTAAGAAAGAAAGATTTTACAGACCCCATCTTTTATACCCAACCCCAACAGTCTAACTCTAAAGAGGATAAAGCCAATGCCTCTCCTCACAAGAGCTCACGACTAACGTCGCTTTGCTATCAAAATCTGTATTTCTGATCCGTTATGAGCATTGAGACAAGATTCAAATATTCCCAAAGAAAGAAGCACAATGCACGTTGTGATCGCCTATTCAGCAACAGCGAGCACTGCATTCAAAACTATCTCATCCCAGGAATTAAATAAGGTCAGCCACATTCATGGGCATTTCCTCCACTGTAGTATTGTAGAAAGTCTCAATGTCACGAAGAATCCTCTTGTCTTCTTCAGTAACAAAGTTTATAGCCACACCTTTCCTCCCAAATCGACCCCCTCTGCCAATTCTGTGTAAGAAAAAGAAATCAGAGCAGTTAGAATGTTACTCCTCACATAAGGATGAACTATTGAACATGATGATCCACTTGTTAACCATCAGCTGCGGTTTACTTAGTAAGGGTTATAGTTCGTGCTTCTAATTGGAGCGCACTAGCTGCTTATCAATATCTAGAGAAAAAAATCTTCCTTTGCAGTTAGTGCCAAAAGGATTCAAGGCTTGTCTGGCTGCAAAATGAGATTTTATCAGGTGTCTTGAGCATTACTTTTAAAGCAGATGACAGTATTGTGTTTGGGGTAGTGAAATTAAAGCCCATACCAAAGTGGGCCAGCCAAGAGCAGATGTCAGCCTGGGACAGATGTAAACACCAGGGATAAAACAAAAAGAACAGTTATGTAATCCATTTCGACGCACCTCTGGAACTGTAAACTGTAAATACAAATGCTGCAAGGTTAACTATTGTCTAAAACTTACTTTTTCCAGTGGGAAAACAAGTATTTGGTATGGTAACCCAAACTTATCACTGCTTTTTTGCTCAGTTTCACACGTTGTAACTCAAAATTACTCAAAACGTGTTTACCTCCAAAACAGCTTTCTACCTTCCTGATAGAAACCAGACAACACAAACCACCTAACATACATACAAAAATGCCTTGGCTGGAGCAACTTAAAAATATCAAATAATCATGACAAAAGAAAAACAAATATAAATACCGACTCGCTCTTTATTCAAACAGTGTGCTGTTTCGCTTATGATTCCACGTCCTAAATTACGTCAACGCCGTTTCTGAGCGCCATCTCGTCATCAACTGCTGCTATCGACTCCTGTATTTTTTAAAAAGTCTTTTTTTACATCATATAACAAAGTACAGTTCAATTTACTTAGGGATAAAGCCACTATAACTAAACCAGGGACTGCTCAAATTGCTACCAGACAACACCAAGAAAATCCCAACTACAGAGGAATCACCAAGAAAGCACATGGACACAAGAACTTCACTAAAAACTCAAAAGTAAGCTAAGAACAACAGATCTGAACAACCTGATCTGTATGTAGTTAAGTCCACAATTTGGGTAACATTTACGAGTGTTTTCCCACTGCAGATGACCAATCTTCCCAAATATCATTTTAGTTCTACCTTACCTAGTTAAGTCTTTTTGCTTCCCTGATACGAAGTTACCTTTCAAACAAATCAGTCCATAGAAAAACCACACATGAATTCATTTTACCAATATAGTAACAGCCAAAATGCCACCTACTCACCTGTGAATATAATTTTCACGATTGGTAGGTAGATCATAGTTTATAACCAATGACACTTGTTGCACATCAATCCCACGAGCCTGAAAAACAATGGTATGGTGTTCAAATTCTAATTTAAACTAGATAGCTATGTAATGTAGGCCACAAAATAGTAGTGAACTATATTTAGTGGTATAGCCCACTGTGGAGTGTGGTCTTGTCTTTACTCTACCAAAGAGCCCAAGCTGGTAAAGGTTATCAAAAAACCTTCCCCCCAAAACAAACTTTTGGTAGGCTGAAAAGAATAGTTAAGAGACTTACCAACAAATCAGTAGTGATCAAAACACGGCTTGACCCTGATCTGAATTCCCTCATGATAACATCTCTTTCCTTCTGGTCCATGTCACCATGCTGCAAATGAACAAACCTTAAATCAAGAATCACCAGCCAAATCAACTATTTGATTTTTACTGACATGTATGAGACCAAGCGTCCCTGGCTGCCACAGAGGTATAGCAGACAGGTATAGTTAAGAAACAACTTTATTTTGAGCAGGGGGAACGACAACACAGCACTTAACAGCTATATTGTAGTCTATATCCTGCTTTAATGAAAATACAATTATCACTAACCAGAACACCTCTTACCAGAGCAGAAACTGTGAAGTCCCTGGCATGCATTTTCTCAGTGAGCCAGTCCACCTTGCGCCTTGTATTGAGAAAAATAACAGCCTGAGTAATCGTCAGTGTCTCGTACAAGTCACAAAGAGTATCCAACTTCCATTCCTACAATTTTTCAAAGTTAACAGTTATTAAAATCTAGCTTCCAACCCATGTAAATTAGAAATTCATTCTGTTAGGCCTATCCCAAGACATATTGCACCAAATCTTAAGACTAAGGACACTGGACATTAAGAAAGAGGTCCACCCCAGTCTTTACAATCTAGTGCAGTTACTTTTCTTCTTGTGTGTACTCTGCTAGCATTATTACAAAAACTAAGGCAATCCTAGTTTCTGCAATTTTAGCACAGTGCTTATACAAGAAGGTTAAAAAATAAACTACATGTTAATGTTTAGTAATTAGGTAAATTACCTCTCTTTCAACATTAATGTAAAACTGTTTGATTCCTTCAAGGGTCAATTCTTCCTTTTTCACCAGAATTCGAATTGGATCTCTCATAAATTTTTTGGTCACTTCCAATACATCAGTTGGCATTGTGGCAGAAAGCAACACAACCTTAAAAAAAACAATGATTATATTGTCACACAAAGAGCAGATTTAAAATACACTGTTTGAGACCCAGTGTTTTTGCCTTGCTATAAAATCATGTAGTTATTATGCACCAACTGCTTTAAGCAGGGGGAGGAAAAATACATCAGGTGTACTGTATGTAACCTGCATTAAACCTAAGCCCCAACCTACTATAGGACAGAGTAAAATTAAAGCTCACCTGAATACTTGTATTTAATTTTTGGAAAATCTCATAGATTTGATCCTTAAACCCTCGGCTCAACATTTCATCTGCTTCATCCAAAACAAACATTTTGATCCACTTTGGAGCTGACAAAGAAAGCCATACATACTATCAGCTCTAGATGCGCAGGGACACTAAGTTTTCAACTTCTAGTAATACAAACAAGTTATACTCTCAACGAATACTTACAAAGGTATCTTCTGTTTAACATATCAAATACTCTCCCTGGTGTACCAACAACAATGTGTGGTGCTTCAGCCTGCAGTTTTTGCATTTCGTTCCGAACATTGGTTCCACCAATGCAGGCATGACAAGTTGCTCCCATATAGTCGCCAAGGGCCAAAATTACCTTTTGGATCTAAAAGCCAAAACCCTTAATTATTATCCAGGACAATTAGAGGCTGTGACTCAACTTCCAAAGCATAATGGCAAATATCTGGTCTGCAAATAGCTTCTATGCATGCATGATATTTAACTGCTTCCAAGCTTAAAATACAGACTGATCTAACTGCTTCATAATAAAATTCCCTTATCGTGTCTCTTCCTTGTGCCTTGTCAAACTTGAGATCCTGTTGCCCCAGATACCAGCTAGGTTAATTGATTTTAGTTAAATCATTTCCTACACTGCTTTTCATTGTGTAGGAAGGTAGGTGTAGGTAGTGGAACTCTGCAATTACATCTAAGACAACTTGTTGATACTTTAGTTTTTCCCGAAGTACTGGACCTGATGTCCTCTTGACCTTAAAACCTAGTTTTATTAGCAAGGTTTTACTTCAAAGCCAATATAGCAGTGAGCTTTGAAAACATAGCATGCAACAGATGCATCACAAACTACTGAGACAGTCAAATGATAACATGTCACTGCAGTTTTCATGTTGCACAACTGCATTCAAACTTAAAAATGGGAACAGATCTAGTCCACCCTGAAAAGCTTTGGTTTCTCAAATCTGTCACACAACCCTGCAAACCATACCTGCACACCCAGTTCCTATTTTTAACTTTCGACAAAAACTCCCTGCATGCATGGACATTGAAAAGGAGGGCTCCTACTGACAGGACCAATTTATACTAAGTTTTAAATTCTTCACAGTTGTGAAACCTGAAACCTATGCAACACGCAAGCAGTTTTTTTGAACTACACTATCAATACCTGTTGAGCCAGTTCTCTGGTGGGGGCCAATACTAGTGCTTGGGTCTCCTTGAACTCAATCTCCAACTGTTGCAGGATGGAAATAGCAAATGTGGCTGTCTTGCCAGTACCTGACTGAGCTTGAGCAATCACATCATACCCTAAAAAAAGTAGGATACATATTTACCGATCCCACATCAAACCGCCACTTCTAGTTCACACCATGTATTCCGTTTGGAACATTAATTATGCCCAAATAATCAAGTGATCAGCAATGAGTATTCTCTTCATTTCAGGTCAGTCCCGAAAGATGATTGCCATCATTTCACTTTAAGGAATACAAACAGGTGCTAGTCCCCCAGAAGTTATTTTCCCTTTTATGGTCCAGGTCTATGTAGAACAGTTAATTCATTCTTAAAAAGTACTGACTAGTTCTTTTACCTTTAATACAAGGAATAATAGCTCTCTGTTGAATGGCTGAAGGCTTCTCAAAACCATAAGCATAGATGCCCCGAAGAAGAGACTCCTTTAAATTCATATCGTCAAAGTTATCAACAATCTCATTCCAGTTGCTCTGCAAATTACATATAAAAAAGACTGAATAAATGGGATGAAGGAGCTCACCTTTCCAACGTTTCAAAATCAACACACATTCTTACCTCGATGACACCATCGGGGTCCATTCCCTCTGGGCCTCCATGTTCTCTGCTGACAAGAATACCGCAGTTAGAGAACATCCCTTTCCCCAGCCATCTCAATTAACTACACAGGAGGGGAGAGCCCTATTATAAGCCGGTCTCATCCGGCCACCCTCCCCTGCACGTGCACACCCCAAGGCAGTTAAGGAAGCTGGCGGCGCAGGGCACATCATGTTCCCTGCGCGCCCGCCCGGAAGGCCGGCAACGCGGGACGCCCAGGAAAGGCCCCACGGACGCCGGCCCTCCCCCACCCCAGGCCCGAGCGCCAGGAGCTCCCGTCTCGGCGGCAGACCTTCTCGCGAGAGCTCCACGCGCTGAGCTCCGCCCCTTACACTGCGCAAGCCGGGGTGATTGACGCGGGCCCAGGCCTGGCGAGAGCTATGCCAACGGTTCGCAGGGATCCCGTTGCCGGCGCGGTCCCTTCCGCCTTGGGGCCTTGGCGAGCGGGCGTCGCTGTCACCCTTCCCCCTTGCCCCACCTAAAGTCGAGCAATGAAACTCGCGCCTTCCGCCGCCAATAAAGCTTCGGGCCCCGTTACATTGTCGACTGCGGACTGCGCCACCGCTTTAACTAAACGTGCTCGGTACGGGAAGGGGAAAGGGCCAGGATTTCAAAGCGTCTTCGGGAGAAAAAAAAGACACCGTCCAATCACCCCGTTTTTCTACCCTAGTCTCCCCTCAATCCAGGCCCTACCCATCATGGAAGCTTCTCGAAGAGCAGAGGGGTGCTAAACGCCTATGAACCCAGCGCTCCCTGCCTTCACGCCGTCCACTACCATCTCCACCGCTGTCAGAGGACCTTCACCACAAATTAGCACCGCCGAGAAGGCGCCATACCTGTTATAATCCGCGGAGCCACCAGACATGATCCGAAGAACCACTCAGCGCCCGACTGGAAAGACAGCGGAACCGCGCCACCCGTTTTTTATAGGCTCGCGGCCGGAACCCGTTTTCTGCGGAGGAATTTTCTCGTCGCTCTTCGGACGTGCACCAAATTGTGATCCTGGGGTCCTTGCCTCAGAAAATAACCTAAACGACTGGGTGGGAAAATCCAAATTTGGTGATTTCTCGATCTTACAGGGCCGCTGGAAATCCCAGGGTCTTGGGGGAAGGTTGGGACTCTTTGCCTTGCGGCGGAAGAATATTGCAGCAAGTGGTGGCCAAACCGCGCTCCCCGCCCGCCCCGCGCCTACGGGGTTTCCGCGTCCCTGAAGCAGAGGCGGCCGGGGAACCGAGCGGGACCGGGAGGCGGAAGCCTGGGGCGGCTGCGTGTTGAGCGGCCGGCGTTTCCCCGCGAGCCCGTGGGGCCGAGCTTGCCGTCCGCTCCGGCGCTCGGGACCGCGGCGGAGATCCGGCCGCGCTCTGCACCGAGGAGAAGAAATGAGGCTGTTCCGCCGGCTCCCACCGCTGTTTAATTGGACGGCAAAGGGCTGCCTGCCCTTTAGCTGAGCGTTTAACATCTCTTCACATCTTAAAAGTGTCAAACTCCCTGCTAGGGAAAATGTCGGCCACCCAGCACGTCCCAGAAAATCCGGCGTACCGTAGTACATTGTGCCCAGCGAGGAAAAACCGTGCAGTGTAGTGTCCTTTGCAAATTGTCTCTGGAGTAACAATCTCTGTTCTCCCTATGCTGCCTCTGGTCCTTCCTCGTTCTCTTTTTAAAATAAAACTAATAATTTTTGCGTGTGGGGAATGCCCGATAAAATCATTGTAAACTTTTGCAAAGGGTTAACAGCTAAGGAGTGATTTCCCTTGTAACGCAGGAATTTAAATGGACGCTTCCGGCAGATAGCTCCATGCCCCTTTGGGACTTAGATAGTGATTCTGATCTATACTGCTCATTATTTTCCAAAAGGCTTTGAACTTTAATTGCTTAATACCTAATGCATGTTGGTTTAATGGAAATTGAGAGCAATACAACCCTTGCCGCTTAAATAAAATTAAACGATTCTTTAAGACCCAGAGGTTTTCAACGGTAGCCCTGACCCAGGCCT